TATATGTGTGTGTATGTGTGTGTGTTTGTGTGTGTATAAATTCGTATATGTATTTTTTTTAGTTATTTTATAGATATATATACGTTCCCCATTCGAACTCATTCCGTGTACACAAATTCTGCTTCCCTCAGGAGTGTGTGTCGAGACAAGCCGGACCGCCAGCCTCCCCACTGCCACAGATCAGAAAACCGCTCGGGAGCAGATTCCAATCGATTCAGTATGTGGGGTTGTGCCCTGAGTGTGTTGGTTATAAATGTGTTTCCTTCCTTTATCATATGTGCCTCTGGCCATTGCGTCCCGTTTTCGCTGCCACTCTCTTGGCATTGATGTGCCATGGTACGTTGCAGTGGTTTGGCGTAGACGGTGTACAGAGGTCCACAGATAAACATTCCCAGACACATCGACCACTAAGAAAGTTCCAGTCCAAATTAGACTACAATAGCAACCGAGCAGAATCCTAAACGGACCGAACTTCTCGCGGCACGTTCTACCGATATGCGACCAGCCTGTTACATAGGTTGTACTGGCATCACTGATGACCCACATTCACTTGACTGACTACCTCACAGAAAGGGACAGAAACTGCCAGCGAGAAGAGCCCAGTCCACCCCACTGCACCAACAGGAAGATGTGCAATGCATTGGGACCTCGGTGGGCATTGAAGCGGGTGATATTATGGTCAAGGTACGTTTTGCCACGGGGCCGTTAGCAAATATTCGGCACGGATAGGGAGGGGGTTGAACAGTTCACTCAGCTACTGCTAGCACGTTATTCACACACACTCCCTATGATTCTATTTTTAGAAAACACGTACAGCTAAAACTGCGAATCCGCTGAATGCAATGACCAACGTTACGCGCGAGGTCACATGGGAGGGTCAAAAGAAACAGAACAAAAAGTCCCAGGTATGTAGTATTGGCGCTCATGGTTATTGAACCCAATTTTCTACTAGAAGTAGAGTACGAGTTTGCCCTGAACAATGAACGGAGCATGCAACTGAGACTCTTTATACAGTCATGTGAATGGGATCCCCACATGCAACCTACCCCTTGGCCGTATCAACCGATCCTTTGTGTTATTGTGCCTGGTGTGATGATAGTCGTGTTCTAGTGTTTGTTGTGAGTTCGTAGTATAGTCCCCACACACTCACATTGTACCCCCCTTGACCGTACCAACCGATCCTTCGTGTTATCGTGCCTGTTGTGATGATAGCCGTGTTCTAGTGTTTGTTGCGAGTTCGTAGTATAGTTCCCACACACTCACGTTTGCACCTACCCCTTGGTCGTGCTAGACAACTCCTTTCCAGTTTGAGCTCAAGTTCCCACAGAAAACGACGGCTGTGTCGTCGCTGTCGCAGCTGATGAATGAGAGCCGCGCAAAGTCCCAGCCATTTGAAGAGTATTCCCGGTATGTATCATGTCACTGCCATAGATTGTTGCCTGTGACTAAAGGCATGGATCCATTCTCCCCAGCCATTTGAAGGGTATTTCAGTACTATATAATGCCACTGGCATGGATTGTTGCCTTATTGTTTGTGACAAACGTTATGAATCCACTCTATCATCCAATCTGTAAGGCTGGGTCGTTTTGTCGGTTACTGAAAGCATGCGGGTGTTATACTGGTTAATGAAGTACTGTGGTAGTCGCCCGTGTTGGCAGCCTTCTACTGAAGCAAGTGCATGAATTGTATCCTCGCCTATGTCACAGCATACTGTACTGTTTCCGTTATGCAGTGGGTATATATATGTGATACGTAGTACACCATCTATATCGGCCAGATCAGGTATTCGAAGGAAGTCCTTGCCTAGTTCTTGGATGTGTATCACTTCTATTGCGACTGTCCTGTAGCAACAGAAAGGGACATGTCGGCTCAGCGCAGGCAGTCCCTTTTTTTTGTTAGGTGCGATTGAATGTATAGACATCAAACCTCGATTGGATCGACGTTGTACAGTTCAAGTAGTCAGTAGAAGAAGGGGTTGTATGTAGCTTCTACTCTTGCCTACTTCATAGCTACCATCTAGATTGTTGCCGCAGAGAAACATACATGCGCACCATGTCCTACCCATTTTAGTCTACATATATTTGCGCTATACATAT